CCCCAAAACCCCAAAACCCCAAAACCCCAAAACCCCAGAAGATCAGAAATAAATTGAAATTATATAATTTGGTAAGCTTCCTTAGAACAAAACTTTAATACTCCTCAGCCTCAATCATTGCTATCTTCTCACTAGGAAGTTGGATTTTGTTGGAGTGGTACTTCTTGTTTGTGAAATACAGGCAGATCTCACACATAATTCCAAAGATAGATACGAGCATAAAGAAGATCAAGGTGTTGTTGTAAGTGGTGTCATAGTACTGAAGGAAGCCAACAATGTTTGGTCCAAATCCTCATCCAGCATTTTGAATAGCAATAGCACATCCAAATGCAGTTCCAAGATATTCCTCCTTGATCACAATAGGGATCATTGGCCAGAGAGCAGCAGCATAAATAGAGTAGGCAGTTCCAATACAGATCAGTGGGAATAATCCTTCGTAACACCCGTCACAAGCTGGCATGAAAAGGAAAGAGGAGTGTGCAGTAAGTAACAAGAAAGATGAGAGGATCACAAATGATATCCTATACCCTATTCTATCAATCAAGAATCCAAATGAGGCACATAACAAAGCAGCAATGATAAAGATGGAACTAGTCAACCTTGATGCGACCATCAGGCTGAGGTCATATTTGTGCATAAACATGCTATTTGAAATATTAGTGAAAGGAAAGATAGAAGAGTATACACTGACGCAGCTTAGGCAGATCAGCCAATAACTAATCGGAAATTTCTTCAGAATTGAAAAATCCAACTTCTCTTCACCTTCATTAGGAATTGTAGTATTTTCTCTTCTTTGAGCATTCTTTTCAAAATGAAGCAGTACTTGGCCAAAAATGAAGCAAACACAAATCAAACTGAATCCGAAGAGAAGAGCTGAGCTGAGGCTTGATTTATCCGCAATGATTGGCATAAGAAGGTTATTGGAAGTACTTCCTAATCTTCCGACGCTCATTCCCAAAGCAAGTACAAAAGCCAGTTCTTTACCTTTGAACCATTTATTGGCAAAAACACTTTGAACAATATTCAATGATTCATTTCCCATTCCGAAAAGGCATCTTCCAAACAGGGCCATAGTGTAGCCATGGCTACCCTCTATGTATCCGCCAAAAGCGAAGAATCCCTGGCCAACAATTCACAGTGTAAATAGGATATTCAAGGCTGACTTAAGTCCGACCCTATCAATAAAGACTCCTCCAAAGAAGGGCATAATTATATTAGGGTAGGCATAAACTGAGTATAGCATATTATATTTCATAGAGCTTTCACCAGTTAAAGTTGCCTCCAAATGCTTAGACAAGGCGTTTGGTTGGTCCATACAGAAATATCCTCCGAACATCAGAGAGGTTGACAGCAACATGACACAATATCTGTTATCTGTTCTATAAGTATTCTCCTTAAGAGGAGAAATAGAGAAAGAGGAGTCATTGTCAAATGTATTGTACAATAATTTCTTTTTCTCTGCAGGATGGTCAAGTCTAATACCTTCATCAATCGAGTGGTCCTTGGGTGGTCCAAATAAGTCCTCTTCCTGGTCTACCGCACCTGTACTCTTACTGCTTGCTATACAAATCATCAGTTAAGATTTTATGCAACTTACCTCTAGAAATTACGCCTTCGTCCATTTTATTATTATAAAACTAATATTCAATTCTGAAGCTGGTTTAGGGGTTTTGGGGTTTTGGGGTTTTGGGGTTTTGGGG